TTCTAACTTCAGGACAGGGTGAATACATAAATGAATCTGTCCCTGGAGCTCAGAGGCTTGGATCTCTTCTCTATCTAAACTCACTATCTGATGCTCTCAACCTGCCACAGTTTTAAATCCAAGAAGAAATCGCTTACTTTTCTTGCATATCTCCCCTGAACTTCCAGAATTCCCCTAAACATGCTTCAACTCCTGTCTTCACCCTCGTACTAGTTGTTCAAGCAAAAACCTCACTTATTCTTTAATATATTTGCATTCTAAATTCAATCAGTACAACTTCTCTACCCTCAATATATACTCAAAATCCAACTACCTCTCACTATTTCGTTTCCTATCACTTGGTCAGAGCCATTCACATCAGAAACATCACCAATCTCCTGCCTACTGTGCTTATTTCTAGCTCCCATCTGCCCTAAGGTCCCACAAAGTCGTAACAGCCATTCTTCTAAAACACTAGTCAGAGGACAAGGCTCCCTTACTTTACTCGGGTTATTTCCACTGGTCTACAAGCTTCTTGCTCCTGTCACCATGCCTTTCCTCCCTGCTACTGTGTCTTCCCCACCATGATCAACTGCATCCCTCTGAACTAAAAGCCAAATCCTTTCTCCCTGAAGTTATTTTTGCCAGGATGTTTAACATGGCAACAAGAAAAGAAGCTAAGGCAATGCTTATTAACATCCAATGTGTGTAATTTATTCATTTACCTATTTTATCATATCAGCTAGGATAAATGTTCCAAGAGATTTCAATATTTTTTCATACTAAGTACACACTTTATAGTCATATAGATGAATTATTTACTTATTTTATGTATATGAATGCACTGTAGTTGTCTTCAGACACACCAGAAGAGGGCATTGGATCCCATTACAAATGGTTGTGAGCCACCATGTAGTTGCTGGGAACTGAACTCAGAACCTCTGGAAGAGCAGTCAGTGCTCTTAACCGCTGAGCCATCTCTCCGGCCCCTGAGATTTCAAATATTTGTCTGCCTTGCCCCCTACTAGAGTCCTAGCACCTAAAACACTTGGCACATAGTACACGCTCAATGTTTGTGTATGTGTTTATTTAATAATTACATTATTTATTTTGTATTTGTGTGTGCACTGGTGCATGTGTGTATGGTGAACATGTGAAGGCCAGACAACAACTTGTAAGAATCAGTTCTCTTCTACCATTTCGGTCCTGCGGACTGAACTCAAGTGTTCAGCTTGGCAACAACTGCCAATACCTACTGAAACATCTCCCAGCCTTCAACATGTATATTTTAACTGAATGAGTAAATAATGCTCAAGGAATGACGTTCAAAAGGTGTTAACAAGCTAATTATGTGTCAAAACTGTTTTAACTACATTAACTCATTTAGCCATCCTAAAAGGTTAAATACTATTGCTATTATTCTAATTTTTTAGAAGACTTTAGGCAGAGGTTAGAATTCAGAAATTGGGGCTGGAGAGATGGCTCAACAGCTAAGAGCATTTACTCTCTTTCAGAGTCATGGGTTCTGTTCCCAGGACCCACATCAGGCAGTTCTCAACAGTCTGTTAGCTCTAGGAGAGCCGATGCCCTCTGGCCCTCTGCATATATGTGGTATACATAAACTCACATATATGGATATATAAAAATATATCTTTTTTTTTTTTTTAAAGAAATTAAGGTTAAGGTCAGGCATGGTGGCACTTACTTTAGTCCCAGAACTTAGGAGGCAAAGGCAGGAGGATCTGAGTTCAAAGCCAACCTAATCTACAGAGCTAGTTCCAGGACAGCCAGTGCTATTCAGAGAAACCTTGTCTTGCAAAGAAAGAAGCCTAAGGCTAAGCAGCAATATCCCCTACACTATACAATGACAAGGCCAGGACTGGACATTCTAATTCCAGAACTTACGCTCCAAAACATGGAAAACCTCAAGCACCATACAACTCAGTTACATTCCACACAATCATGGCCCTTCACTCTCAAAATAGCTTATGTGCTACTTATTTGATTACGTATAGCACTTTGTTCCCTGCTTTCTCCATCAGTGTTTCTGATAGCTTCTACATAAAACACATTTAACAACTCCCATACTCCTTCCTACAAAGTGTAAACAGCATAAAACAGCAGCTGTTTCTCTGAGAACTTTCACTTTTAATTTTTTTTTTTAAAAAAAGGTGAATGATTGTATCTTTCTTTTTTCTTTTTTTTTTTTAAATTGGCTATTTTCTTTATTTACATTTCAAATGTTATCCCCTCTCCAAGTCTCCCCTCCGGAAACTCCCTATCCCATGCCCCACCCCCAAACCTACACTTTTAAATTTCTAGTTTGAAGCTGAGTTACAAGACTGACATAGTACTCTATGACTTTAGCAATGAAGAAAAACTTCAGTGGACTCAACAAGTATAGCATAGGGGATAAGAGGCAAACAACCTTAATTTTAAAAAGAAAGACAATTCTACACTATAGCCCAGTAAGATCTGGAACTCACTATGTAGCCCAGGCTAGCTTCAAACTCAAGAAATCTCAGCCTCCTGAGGGCTGGAATGACAGGTGTGAGCCACCACATTCAGCTAGCAACAAGACACTAAAGATTTCTTTTACGTTCAGTTATGAGGATGGAGAGTATGAATGAAGTACATGAGTGCAGGTGCCCAAGGAGCGCAGAAGTGGAAGTCAGACCACCCAGAGCGACTATAAACTGATCTATACACTCCATCAGTTAACTATCTTTGCCTCCATTTCCTATCAATCTCTACAAGTAGTTTTTTCTAGTCTAGAAAACAAGTAGTTTTCTAGAACAGAGTCTGTTCATGAAGTAAACATGAAAAACAGGCAGTTGGAGAACTACTGAACCTAACCTATGTATTTCCCTCTTGATTATAGAAAAGTACTCCCCTGGCCACTTCCCCAAGAAAATCTGGTATGCGGTAGGAAAGTTACTGTTTAAATTTGATTTTATAGCAGTTTCTCTTCTTCCTCCATAACTACTGAACTATTGAGAGCTGTGCCTCTTATTATATTATAATATATACTCATCAAAGGACCTGTTTTCTCAACAAGAAATAGTTTACGTCATAAGTGATAACACATGTACTATTATAATCTAATAGGAAGCAAGAATCCATAAAAGATTTAGGTTTATTGTGCTAAAGAGTAAAATCCTGACGGACACTGTCTTAGTAACGTCTCCCAACAAAGTAAGATACATGTCCCCACAGGGTACCAGAAGAACATTTTAAAATCACTTGACTCTGACAATATCCTTTAGAAATGGAGATACTTATGTAAAGAAAAAATTCTATTTCATTTTTTTAATGTTTAGTAAAGACTGAAATAAAGCCAGGTGCGGTGGCACATGCCATTAATCCTAGCACTTGGAAGACAGAAGCAGGCGGATCTTTGAGTGTGAGGCCAGCCTGGTTTGCAGAGCAAGTTCCAAGACAGCCAGGGCTACATTGAGAAATCCTGTCTGGAAAAACAACAAAACAAAAGGGGGAAAAAGATAACAATAAGTACAACTAAAAATAATAAAATAAAAGCAATCTTCAAGAAAGCCAGGCATGGTAGGTCATGTCTAATCTCTGCTCTTGGAAGGCTGAGACAGAAAAATCACAATAAATTAAAGGCCAGACTGGGATAGAGTGAATCCTTACCTTTAAAAAAAAATCTGAAAAATAGGGACATCCAGATAACTCAGCAGATAAAAGTGTGGCACAAGTCTAACAACCAAAGTTTGAACCTCGCCATCCACAGTGGGAGAACCAAGTCCCAAATGCTTTGACCTTTGACCTCAAAGAGGGAGGGAGTGATCCAGCCTGTGTGTGTGCACGAGTGCTGGCACACACGCATACAAAATGCATTTTTTTTAAATCCAAAAATAATCACCTCAGGGCTGGAAAAATGGCTCAGCAGTTAAGAGCATTGACTGCTCTTCCTGAGGTCCTGAGTTCAATTCCCAGCACTGACATGTGGCTCACAACCATCTGTAATGGGATCCGATGCCCTCTTCTGGTGTGTCTGAGGACAGCTACAGTGTATTCATCATATATATATATATATATCTCAAGTAAAAATCTTTTTAAAAAATCACCTCCAATTTATAAATGAACACAAAATGTATCAAGGTCTATTGAAAAACAAGGTGTAAGAGACAGTTGCACTTTAAATCCTTAAGCAATTTTCATACAATCACCACCACCAGAACTGTTCACAGTTCAAAGCAATCAGCCGCAACCACCTGCAACTATTACTCTGAAATACGCTTAGCAAAGAAACTACCTGAGTTCCAGGCCTTTTCTTAAGGGGTCAACTCAAAAATTAAAACTGGTACAAAGAGATCAAGCCCAAGAGCGGGGGTTGAGGGGGGGTATAGAAAAAGAAAAGCTGATAGCACTTTTGAGGGACTAAGAGTAATGAGACACACTCCTTCATGGTTGGCGGCTATAGAATGAAGTTGTCTAAACACCAATATCTTCCTTCTTGTGTGTAAAGACCTCATTCACTCACGCTCACAATTTACCTACCATAAGTCAACGCAAAGGGATTCTCTTCCCTCAGAGAATTCTACTCATCTGGCCAAGAAAAGAACCAAAACCCTAAAGTGGCAACGTGAGCTCTGCTGCTGCAGTACCCCCGCCAGCTACCTCCAAGGCAACAGCCATGCCTCGTTTTCCAACTGAAATACAACCTTTCCTCTTCTATCTCACCAGGTCCAAAATAATAAGATCATCTTAAACACTTTACATCTGATCCACCTTGGCCGCACCCCAACTCCAAGGTTCCCCAATATCCCCACATCATGCCTCCCACTCCCCGCTCTCGCTGCCGCCAGAAGCCCCCCACCTCCCACCTCCAGCAGAGATCCCTACCGCCAGCGCCTTCGCTCCCGCCCAATCCCGGAGCTCCGCAGGGCGCGGCCGCCGGTGGGCTCCGGTGCGCTGGGGCGGGGTCCGCCCTCCCGACCTCCCCATCCTCCTCCCCACCCCCGGCCCAAAAAGGAGGGGGAGGGGTCCCAAAGCCTCACCTACAGCTCCGCCCCTCCCCAGGGGCACTCTGCCCTGCCCAGCCAGGGCCGGGAGCGCCGAGCCGGATAGGAAACGACAAATGCCTCGGTGCCTGCGACCTCCGGGCAGTTCGAGGTTCCGCCTGACGAGCGAGCGGCTGCCGACGCGGCCGCCTTACTCTCCTCAGGGCCGCCGCTGCTGCTGCCGTAGCTGCTACTGCTTCCCGGACAGTCTGCCGCCAACACTACCACAGCCGCCGCCGCCGCCACAGCCACAGCACGACCGGCGCCCGCGACGTCACCATGCCCCGCCCCCCGCGCACACCTAGCACCGCCCCCTGTCGCCCGCGCGGCGCCCTTGTCCCGCCTCCGGCTCTCGCGTGCCGCCGGGCTTTCCCTCGTCCCACTGGGAAGCGCCCCGCGACGGGGCTCTACGGGACCGCGTGCCAGGATCGACAAGTGCGGCGCCTCGAGGCCGCGAAGGTAACTGGGTGCCGAGGCAAAGTTGCGCCACACGTAGCGCCGCCCCTTACATACACACACCCACGGCCAAGCGTCCACGGGGAGCCCGGGCCACGATATTAAGCGAGGAAGGTGCAGACGAGGAGGGGCGGCGTTTGTCTCCTCCTGCTTGCCGTAGGACGTGGACCGCTGGAAGCCCCAGGAGTGGAGTGGCCTTTCCCAAACCTGGAATCGCCCCGCCCCCTCCTTGGCAAGCCCGTTACCCGAACCCTGGGACGGCCGCCACCTTAGGAAATAGCTCAGGGCTTGTCATTAGAGCCACGGCTGCCTGGACACCCTTTGTCCAAGAGAAGTTAGCTTGCCTCTCACCCTTGGCTTTTCCGCTCTGAGGCTGTGGAAGGCAATACTCTTGAGTCATCTGGACTGTCCAAGCGGTCATCATAAAAGACCATCGTCTCAGTAGGTGGCTTTTTTGCAAGGATCATTCCAGGGAGGAAGAGTGTGGGCGGAATCTGATGTCCACATGCAGTGCGTGTACTGTGCCAAATGCTTCACCGCGTTACCTTTTTTATTTAGCCCTCACACCAAGCAAGGCGAACTACAAAGCAGCTGCTACCTTATTTTAGACAACCCAGTTTTCGGTGCTGAATCTCAACCTTTTCCTTTTGTCAAGAGCAGGCAAAAAATACAGAGGTGGGGGCAACACATAGTTCCTAATCATAAAAATGTAGATAAGCTATCTCTAAGCCGAAAATCCAAGGGTGGTGTGAATTATACTCATCCCCACACTCACAGGGTTTATTAAGCTAATTTAAAATGCCTGTGAGATGAGAGACTCATCGGTTTACTCAGCCCTAACCTCCCACCATTATAATTAACCGGCTTACACTCTTCATAATCCCATTAACATTTCCCCCCATCCTGTAGTATTCACGTTCATTCACCAAACTGTATTTTTTTTCCTTTCCAGATTATTGTTCCCTTCCAAAATAATGCACTTGGATCTTTACAGCTCCTTGGGCACGCTGAACTGACTTCCCTTCAGTACATCTAACATATGACAACCAGTTGTTAGAGAGAGTGCAGCCAAACGGGACTATACAGCAGCCAGAGAAGAATCTTCAAATATTTCATTTCTGGGCCTGGGAAGATGGGTTAGTGGATAAGAGCATTTGCTCTTCAAGCATGAGGTCCTAAGTTTGAATCCCCAGCACCCACATAAAACCCAGGCATGACTTCAAGTATCTATAACACTAGCACTGGGGAGGGAATACAGGTTGATCCCAAAATTTGGCAAAAAGATGAACTTCTGATTCAGTGAGAGACCCTGTCTCAAGGCAACAAGGCAGAGGGCAATAGAAAAAGACAGCTGATGTCATACTCTGGCCCCTGCAAGTGAGCGAGCATACACACACACACACACACACACACACGGGGGGGAGGGGATTTCATTTCTTAGATACCTAGGTACTCACCCATTAAAGCCATTCTTCGTGGACCATTTTTACAGATTCTTCTCTGTATAGTAAGTAAAGAGGAGCTTGCCTTGCTATAGGTGTATGTGTCTCTGTTAAGGTTTTTGTCTGTGCAATGCATGGTCCAGGATGTCCTGAAATTCACAACAGTAGCTGGCCCAGTCTCCCAAATGATGAGATTGCAAGCATGTGACACAACACCTGACACTCTCCCTGGGATTTATATATGCTTGGCACCTGGCCCCCTTCTTCTTCTTCATTTTCTCTCTTTTGGAATGAAAATATTTGTCCTGTGTGTGCCCCAACTTTGTATCCTGGAAGCATGTAACTTGTCTGCTTCTTAGCTAGAGAGGATTTTGCCTCAGGATGACCCATCTTAAGTATCACTCATATATAATTTAGATAATATACAGACAGAATGCCTTTTATCTGAAATGCTGGGACCAGAAGTGATTCCGTTTTTCAGTTTGGGGATGGGAGGAGCTAGAGGGATACACATAAAGAGATATCTTGAGAATAGAACCCCACTCTAAACACAAAGTCAATTTATTTTATATATACCTTTTTCAGCTAATATACCCTGAAGGGCATTTCATGCAATAGTTGTTTTGGTTGGTTGGTTGGTTGGTTGGTTGGTTTGATTTGGTTTTGGTTTTTCAAAACAGGGTTTCTCTGTGTAGCCCTGCCTATCCTGGAACTCACTCTGTAGATCGGGCTATCCTCAAACCCAGAGATCAGTCTGACTCTGCCTCCCAAGTGCTAGGATTAAAGGCATGTACTGCCACCACCTGGCTTATGCAGTAGTTTTAATTTGTGCATAAAGCAGGGGTTTGCCGGGCAGTGGTGGCGCACACCTTTAATCCCTGTCTTGAAAAAAACAAAAAATAAAATAAAGCAGGGGTTTATAGTGTGAAAGTTTCTACCTATGTATGGTAGCTTGTTGATGGTCAGAAACTTTCAGCTTTTGCAACATTCCATGTTTTTTTTATTAAGGATATTTAACTTCTCTTTATTTTGATTTTCTTTGGGGAATTTTTTATTAGGTGACCCCCCACACACACCCAGGTAGTAATCTCACTGTATTACCTAGACTGGTCTTGAACCAGGTTCAAATGATACCCTACAAACCCTCAGCCTCCTAAATTTGAGAACTACAGACTTGTGACACCACACCCCATTTAACCTGTGTTTAGTTAGATAAGATTTTAATTTAGAGTTCATGTGGATGTAAATAGTCTCTTGGAATAAATAGAATGCATTTTTAAGTTGAGGGGGACATAAATCTGAGTGCTCTGGTAAACAGTTATATGAATTGAATTAAGTTTTTGAAATTGTAATCCTCAAAGATGTTATCTTCGGTCTGTGATATGGCAACACTAACCAACTAATAGAGACCCTATCAAAAAAGTCAAAAAACCCAAATATAATGGCCCATGTTTATAGTTCCAGCATTCTGAAGGCTGAAATTTGAGCATGAAGTCAGGCTACACTATGTAGTCTCAAAATAAAATAAAAAGAGGCTGGGAGGTGCCTAAAGACATATAAAAGGGGAACATGGATTTGGGAAAACAATTTGTAAACCATATCTCTTCCATTTCTAGAACTCAATAATACAAAGACAATCCACATTTTAAAATGAGAAAAGAATCTGAATCGCTATTTCTCCAAAGATATCCAAATAGCCAAAAGAACTTGAGAAGTTGCTCAACACATTAGTCAGAATTAATTATAGGCCAGCCAGAGATATCGAGACAAACACTGTCTCAGCACTTAGGCTGAAGTGGCAAGATTACCATGAGTTTGAAGCCAGCTCAGGCTACAGGGTGAGACTCAGTTTCCAAAACAAAAGAGGCTGTAGCTCAGTGGCAGGGCTAATCCCAAAAATGAGAGGAGAAAGACCACTGACCCAAATCATCATGGCCAAATTAATTAAAGCAAGCTTTTTAATTTGTGTGCAGGGGCTACCTCCCCACAAAGCAGGGTTTAAGAGGTCAGCATTGGATGTGAGGAAAACAAGGCCTTTTTTATAGCTCAGGAGTAGGAGGTTTCCAAAACTGGCAGGGCTACAGGAGCAGAGCATCATAACAAGTTAGTCCTAAAGACCTCCTAAAACAGATAAGGTTACAAGGTGGGCATAACAAGGTAGCCATAGGTTGTTCAGATAACCTTTTGAAACAAAAGTTTCAAGATGATTATAAACAACTTTTTTGAAACAAAGACATGTTTTGATGGCTATTCCTGGAGCAGGCAGTACAGAACCATCTGTAGTTAAGGTTATAGGTGGGACATAGCCCAGTCCTTAAGAAACAAGTTTAATCATAAACAAAATCGAACCTAGTTTGTGTTTTACTATAAGATTGCTTTTAAACCTAAATTAGAGGAAGGCTGGTGCTTCAGCAGGAAGCCCTAGGTTCAATACCCAATACTGAAAGTAAAAACAACAACAAACTTTCTAAACAGCTATGCACACCACTAATGCATATCTCTCATGTGAGAACTTAGTATGTGGCCTTCTTTCTTTATTGTGAGCGACCATACATAGAATTAAAATTAAGACTGCTGGCCAACCCATGGTGGCACACACTTCTAATACCAGTACTTAGGGGAAACAGACAAGAATCTGGAGTTCAACTCTACAAGAGCTACAAGAATTGTATCATTTAAAAAAAAAATGTAGACCATGGTCCTGTAATCCCAGTACTCACAAGGGTAAGGAGAAATGTCCAGAGTTTGAGACCAACTTGAGTTAGACTCTGTCTAAAAAGAAGGAAGGTGGAGGGGTGGGGGGGGGAAGAAGGGAGAACAAATTAAGATGTTCTGTTACAGAAATAGGTAGAAACTGATTATGAGAGAGAACTCAGATGTGCCAGAATTGCTGAGGTTTGGATTAGAGAAATGGCTCATGAGAATAGGTGCTTGTTAAATTGTAACCTATAACTCCAGTTCCAGAGGATTTGATGTCCTCATACAGAGACATGTGAGGTGAAACACCAATGCACATAAAATAAATCATTTTTTTAAAAAAAATTACTAACCTTTAAAACTTAAGTTACATTAGATGCCTCAAAGAATAAGTGGTGTAGAGGGTTCAGCTAAAGAAGTTATCTAAAATTGGTGAACAGAAATAAAATGGGTAAAAAAAAAAAAAAAAGTAGTTTAAAGACACACAAGAACTGGG